CTGAGCACTCACAGTTCGGCCAAAAAAGAAAAAATGGGCAGGCTGCCCTCCTCCGGGGAGTGAGAGAGATAAGGACACAGGGAGCCAGGGACACCAGAGGGACCTGGGACTCAGAAAGAACATGGTCTTCTGGCCCCGGGCAGATGAGCCCAGGTTGGCTGCCCCTGCACTCTGTGCTCATGCCCTTTCTGCTACATGGAAGGTATCAGGGCTGCACCATTTCACAGCACACATCTGCATGGCCTTGCCAGTTCACCAAGCACTCCCTGCTTTCTATTTCATTGAGCCTCACGGCGACCCAGGAACTAGGTAGGCACAGCCACTACTGTTACCAGAGCATCACAGATGGAGAAACTGAAGGTCCGAGAGAATAACTTGTCCCAGGCCATACAGTCAGTGGTAGAGTTGAAACTTGATGCCTGACTGGCATGGCTCAGTGGTTGAGTGTTGACCTATGAACCAGGAGGTCATGGTTCGATTCCTGGTCAGGGCACATGCCAGGGTTGCGGGCTCGATCCCCAATGAGGGGCATGCAGGAGGCAGCCGATTAATGAATCTCTCTCATCATCGATGTTTCTATCGCTCTATTCCTCTCCCTTCCTCTCTGAAATCACTAAAAATATACTTTAAAAAAACACAAAACAGCCCTAACCGGTTTGGCTCAGTGGATAGAGTGTCAGCCTGCGGACTCAAGGGTCCCAGGTTCGATTCTGGCCAAGAGCATGTACCTTGGATGCGGGCACATCCCCAGTAGGGAGTGTGCAGGAAGCAGCTGATCGATGTTTCTCTCTTATCGATGTTTCTAACTCTCTATCCCTCTCCCTTCCTCTCTGTAAAAAATCAATAAAATATATTTTAAAAAACACACAAAACAAACAAACAAACAAAAACACCTCGAATCTGGGTCTCCTGATCCCACACCTTTAGGCCAAGCAGCCTCTCAGAGCACAGAGAACTCCATCTCATCACTGGGCCATTGTCCCAAATGCCTTTCTAAGTGGCACAAGGCACACCCAGACAATCTCCGTGACCTGGAGTGGACAGGGGAAAGGTGCAGGGGACAGGCAGATCCATTATATGGATGATTAAGTGAAGGAAGGAAAAACCTTGACAGAAGGACACAGTGAGTTCTGTTCCTGATCTGGAGCAGGCAGCTGACCCGGACTGCAAACCTGGGCACAGTCCTCTCCCTCTGGCCTGCCCAGAGCAGCCTTCACCTCGGGAACCAGCTGGACCCCGAGTGAGGCTCACTCACATTCTGTACCCAAAACCCAGGGAGTTCACAGCTGATAGGCTTCCCTCCTTCAGCGTGCTATGGCTTTAAGCGAGGCCTGTGTGCAGTGGGTCCCCACTGTCCTCATTTCCTGGCTAAAGACCTAGATAGAGTGTCTAAATTTTCCTGCGGCTGACTGCTGCCCCAGATTTAGCCTCTCTGATGGATAAGTCTGTCTCTCTCCCTGCCAGTGGCTGTGTCTGTCACTCCATCCCATCCCCTGGCTTCCTGAGTTACCTGTCTTTACGTCGCTGATAATCCACCAGAAGGCTCACTTCTCAAAATGTATAGAACGGCATGGAAAAACTCTACGGCGGAACCTAGAATGAGAACCTGGAAACACGGAGGCCCCACCGCTGCTGTCACCATGCCAGTCCTCAAACCCATGCGATCCGAACACAAAGCCTCAACAGGTTTTGATTTGGGAGTTTTGTTTGTTTGGATTTGGATTTTTTTTTTTATCCTTACCTGAGGATATTTTTCCATTGATTTTTTTTAGAGAGAGTGGAAGGGAGAGATGGGGAGAGAAAGAGAGAAAGAAATCTCAATGGAAGAAAGGCACATTAATTTGGTTGCCTCCTGCACCTGCCCCGAGCAGTGCAGGGATCGAACCTGCAACCCAGGTACGCACCCTTGACTGGGAATCGAACCTGTGACCCTTCAGAGCACAGGCTATGCTCTACCACTGAGCCACATTGGCCAGGGTGAATTTAGATTTTTTTACTGTTGTTAATTGACAACATGATTCTGAAGTCCAGCTGAAAGAATAAATGGGCAAGAATAGCGGATAAAATTTTGGAAGAAAAATGAGGGTGAACTGTCCTACTGGATTAGTCAAGATGTAATGTAAAATTAAAAAATGCTCATTCATTGTTAAAGGGTATTCTTTAGGAAGAAAAAGGCCCTAACCAGTTTGGCTCGGTGGATAGAGTGTCGGCCTGCAGACTGAAGGGTCCCAGGTTCGATTCCAGTCAAGGGCATGTACCTTGGTTGTGGGCACAACCCCAGTAGGGGGTGTGCTGGAGGCAACTGATTGATGTTTCTGACTCTCTATCCCTTTCCCTTCCTCTCTGTAAAAAATCAATAAAATATATTAAATAAATAAAAAGAAAAAAGATAAAAATACGAATAATAAAATGGCAATAAATACATATCTATCAACAATTACTTTAAATGCAAATGGATTAAATGTTCCAACCAAAAGATGTATACTAGTAGAGGCTGAATGGATAATAAAACAAGATCCTTACATATGCTGTCTACAAGAGACTCACTTCAGATTGAAAAATATACACAAACTGAAAGTAAAGGGATGGAAAAGTATATTACATGAAAATAGAAACAAACAAACAAACAAACAGCTGGGGTAGCAATACTTCCACCAGACAAAACAGACTTTAAGACAAAGAGACAAGGGAGGACCCAGCAATTCCACTTCTGAGTATTTATCCAAAGAAACCCAAAACACTAAAAAAGATATACATCCATATGTTCACTGCAGCATTACTTACAATAGCCAAGCTATGAAAGCAACCTAAGTGTCCATCAATAGATGACTGGATAAAGAGGAAGTAGTGTACATATACAGTGGAATAAGATTCAGCCATAAAAAAAGAATAAAACCTTGCCATCTGCAACAACATGGATGGACCTAGAGGTTATTGTGCTGAAATAAGTCAGACAGAGGAAGACAAATGCCATATACTTTCATTTATATGTGGAATCTAAAAAAAATAAATCAATAAATGAAAAAGCAGAATAGAAACAAACTCAGAGGCAGAGAACATTTCGTCGGTTGCCAGATGGGAGCGGTTGTGGGGATGGGTAAGAAGGTGAGGGATTAGGAAGTACAAATTGGTGGTTACAGAATGGTCACAGGGATGTGAAGTACAGCACAGAGAATATAGTTAATAATGTTGTAATAAGTAAGTATGGTGTCAGACGGGTACTAGATTTATTGGGGTGATCACTTCATTATATAATGTCTAATCACTGGGTTGTACACCTGAAACTAGTATAATATTGTATGTCAACTATAATTGAAAAATAAAAAATTATTTAAAGTTAAAAACATGTTCATTCACTGAGTCACTCCACAAACATTTATGAAGCACTCAGCCTGGGCCAGGGACTGGGAATGTCTGGGGTACTATGGGGACATGACTGTACGGCCTGTTTCAGAAACCAGTAAGGGGAGGCTGGGAAGTGAGGAGTAAGCAAGAGTCAGGTCGAGAGACAGGCGCTGAGCCAAGGCTGATGGCCCAGCCCTGTGACTGGCCTGGGAGAGGACAAGGAGAAGTGACTGGGCAGAGAGCAGTGGCCTCCCTCTGTGGGGTTCTCTGGGCAAGCCACCCTGCAGCTTTGGGCCTCAGGCAATTCACGTGCAAGGTGGGCCCATAATTAATAACAACTGATTGTAACTAACAAACACAAATATTCATTAAGCACACATTATGTGCCAAACATTTTATTTTATTACTTATTTATTATTATTATTTTTTAATCCTCATCGAGGACATGCAGAGAGAGAGAGGAGGAGAGAGAGGAACATTGATGTGAGAAACACTGATTGGTTGCCTTTGTACATGTCCTATCTGGGACCTGAACAACCTTTCGGTGCACAGGATGATGCTCAATCAGCTGAGCTACTCTGGCCAGGCAATGTACCAAGCATTTTATATTTAACATCTCACTTAACCCTCACAACATCCCTAATAAGATCAGTTCTGTTATTATCCCCACTGTTTTACTTTGTTTTTAAATATATTTTTATTGATTTCAGAGAGGAAGGGAGAGGAAGAGAGAGATAGAAACATTAATGATGAGAGAGAATCATTGATCGGCTGCATCCTGTACGCCCTACACTGGGATCAAGCTCAAAACCTGGGCATGTTTCCTGACCAGGAATCGAACTGTGACCTCCTGGTTCATAGGTTGATGCTCAACCACTGAGCCACACCAGCTAGACTATTATCCCCATTGTTCGAGTGAGAATATTGATGTTCAGAGAGGTTAGGTAACTTGCCCAGGGTCACACAGCTAGAAGTGGTGAAGGTCCAATACATAGCCAACCTGGCTCCAGAGCCCCCACTGCTAACCACCAACCTACTCTGCCTTCCAGGGGGAAGTAATGATTCCTCAGAACAAGCAAGGCGCAGTGATGCATGGAGATTCCAAATGAAGTGGACGTTACCAGCTCCCCACCCTGAAATGAAGCAAGGGCCTCCTTCACACCATAAGGCTGCCTCAAGCCAATGCTTGGTCCCCTCAGGATTTGCATTATTGACACTTTGAGAATGAAGGAATCCCTGAGATCATCCAACCTAATCACTCTTAAGGTGCCAGAACCCCCCCTATGACTCATAGAGGCCACCCAGCCTCCTGTGACTATCATCAACGGCAAGCAGCTCATTACCTACCAACGCAGCTAATAACATTCGGGGTGGCTCTTTCTCTAGCAGGTGGTCACCTCCCCCTTTACTTTCTTCTCCAGGATGTCACCAGAAGACATACACTCCCTGCCAAGAAGCTACGGCAAGTTTCAAGCACTGCCATCTCACTGGCCTCCCTGCTCTGCGGTCAGATTTTCCAGCCAGTTCTCTGGGTGCACAGCTCCCCGCCACCACCCCCGAATGCCAGGCACATGAGCCAGGACACCTTGGCTCTGCACGGACAGGGCAAAGGTGGGAAAGGGTGGCAATTCTGAGCGGCCTCAGTGGGCGCCTACCTCTCTCTGCTCCCTCTGCAGGCAGAGTTCCTCCGTCTCTTCCATCAGTTTGTCTGCCAAAGAGAACACACACACCCTCAGGAAAAGCCCACTCCAGACCCGGTCCTGAGGGGCTGATGGCGCAGTCACCTCCGTCACCCCCCGCATCTCCTGCGGAAGAGGTCAGCACAGCCGCACCGGCCAGCCAAAGGGTGGGGCCAGCTCCTGGGGTGGGAGCTGCATCCCTCCTTCCTGTCACTGTCCCTGCATTGCGCATTCACAAGTCAAGTGCAGCCTTGTCCTTAGAAGCTCAAGGGAGTCTCTGCACTTGTGTCTGCCTTGTGGGGAAGGGCAGTCCTGGGGGTTGATGGGTTTGGAGCAGGCAAAGGGGAACCACTGTTGGGGCCCCAAGTGTCTAAGGAGGCAGCAGGGAAGAGGGTCCCAGGACAAGGACCGAACCTCAGACTCAACTTCTTCTTTCCCAAACAGCATGCTAACCAGCCAGTCAGGGCACAAGGGCCTGGAACCTTGTGGTCAGGTTTAAAGTGGGCTGGGGTGTGAGAGCCGGAGGCAAGCCTGGGATCTGAGGTCCAGGACAAGGCAACCACATGGACTCCGTTTATGGAGCCCTTACTGCGTGCCTGACAGTGCTTACAGGCATTTTCTCACGTAACCCTTCCCCACACCACCTCCAACAGCCAGGGACTGTTTCCGTCCCCATTTCAAGGATGAGGAAATTGAGGCTTAGAGAGGCTGTGCTGCCTGAAGACATACACAGCTGGTCGACAAGTGACAAAGCTGGGCCCAGAGCCCAGGGCCCAAACCACCAGGCTCTCCTGCCTCCTGTCATGCTGGCCAACAGGACATTGATTATAAAGCTCTCCAGGCTCCAAGCTGGTGTCTGGCTCCTCAGAGCCCGCCAAGCCCCACTCAAGACACCCCCCTGGGTCCTCCAACAGCCCCTGGCCCTGAAGTGCTACCATCACAGCGTCAGCCCAGCCTGTCCTTCCAGCCAACCTAAATACTCCTGCTTCTCCTTGGCCAACTGCAGCCCCTGGGCCTCCAGGCTCTTGATCATGGCCTCTCCCAGCTGGGCGTTCTTCCAAGTCCTGGGGAGGGAGGGCAGATGGGACAGAGGAGAGAAGAGGAAGAAGCACAAAATCGTGAAAACAGAAGGGTAGAGGAGAAAGAGAACGTGCGTGTTTTGTACTCGCCCATCCCTTCTCTGCAGGATCCCAGCTCTCATCCACCCTGGCACCCCTGGCTCTGGGCATGCCACCAGCAGGGATCAGTTTCAGTCCCCGGAGGCTCACCCAGCCTGCAAAGTGGGCCACCGTGGGCAGGGCCAGCAGCACTTTTGGAGCAAAGAAGAGATTGCTTCCTGGCTGCCTTCTACAGCACTGAATGCCCACCATCCGGCGCAGGGCCTGGCCCGGGGCACGCACTCAGTGTTATTTGTTGAACTAAAAGCATGACCCAGCTTGAACAGGCAGGCGCCAGGACCGGGGTTTACGTGTGAATGAACTGTGTTGGGCTGGAGGTTTCTGTGATGTAGACCCTGATTGCAAAGCTCTGGTCTGTGCTAGGATTCATGGTGGGCCTGGGGAGCTGAGATGGGGGTGGGAGGCAGCCAAGTCCTACTGGTGATGCTGGATTCACTCTGAGAATGGGAGGCAAATGGAGTCCACGTCTGCCACCTGTGGCCCTAGGCAAGCAAAGCTTACTTAGGAGACCCCTCACAGATGCTCTTGCCCACCCTACCCAACTCCCACAGCCCTGTCCTCAAGGAGGCCCAGACATTTTCCTCCCCACCCTGCCCTCTCCTGGGGCCCTCAGTGCCCGCCCGGGACCCCCAGCAGAGAGAGCAAGCAGGGTCAGTCCAGCCCACACCCCTTTCCCTTCTGCACCTCAGGCTGCCCTCCTCCTGGGAGCACTTACACCTTCCCCGACTCCTGCAGCATCTCCAGCCACTGCGCCTGTTCAAACTCAGACTCCGCTGCCAGCAAGATGTTCCCCTGCCAGGAAGAGGGGCCACGGTGCACCTGAGAGAAGGCCGCTCTGAGGACACGGAGGCCGCCCCAGGCCTCTGCAAGCCCAGTGCTGCTCCCCCCAACCCGCAATCCTATGGCACTGACACCCCTCCCAGGCCAGGCCAATGGAGGGGTTGCCCCCAGGCACCTGGAGAATCCCAGAGAAGCTGCTCTGTCCCGGCTGAGCCCGGGCTGAGATGAGAGCTTTACTCACATGGAAGTCCTGGTGGGAGATTTTCATGGCATAGGGCATGCTGGGCTCTTCCTTGGCCTCCACTAGGCAGCCCCCGAGAGGGATGACGCCCTGAGAAAGAACCAGAACAGGCAGCTCTCACCCCGCCCAGCCCAGGTCACTCAAGGTCTGTGGGAGCCCTTAGCCAAAGCCAGATCCTGCTGAGGGCCCCAGGCTGGGAGCCAGACGAGAACTCTCCCAGAAAGGAGAGGCAGGGCGGGGCAGGCTCCTGGGCTCAGGAGGTTGGGGGCCCAGCCCAGGACGGGCAGGGGGTCTTGTGCCCCAAGAAGGATTAGTCCTTCAGACTCTGTTAGACCACAGACCACAGTCCTCCACCCTAACACCCGCCCTCAGTGTCCCACTGGCCCTCCCCACTGGGGCCCTGGGGAGAGGCCCCCTCACCTTAGGATGTATATTGAAGTGTTTATTGGTTTCAAAGCTCTTTTTTTCACTTTCAGAGTAGTAAAGAAGAAAGCTCTCTTTGATGATGAAAAACCTATATAGCAGGTGGTGAAGAAAGAGGGACAACCAGGAGAGAAGGGTGAGGATTCTTGGAACAACAAGAGCGTCCTTGGGGGCCCTGCACTCACATGGGGAGTCCAGGGGGCTACCAAGACTCTACCTCACCAGCCCAGTTCCACATCTGGGCAAAGGCTTCAGCTGGCCAGCTGCCTGCTGCCCTAGGCAGCCCGATCCTGGCACTAGTGGGCAGCTGAAGTGGGAAGCCCTCAGGGCTGGCTCCTCCATCCCTCTTGAGCCGCCACCCTCAGCACAGGAGGGCACCTGTGGTACTTCCTCGTGGGTACCCTTGGTCCCCAAGCCATTGTCTCAAGTCCCTTAGGGTCCATCCCAGGAGGGGTAGAAAGGGGTGGTGGGGGGAGACACAAGATTCCAAGATGGGTCTTTTGACAAGTGATCATGAAAGCTGGCAATCAAATGACTGTGGGAACCAAGCTCTGGGGCCAGGCCTGCAGCCTGTACGTCACATCTGCACTCCTTTCTCTCCATAACCTCCTTCTGGGAACCAGGTCTAACTTAGGATCTCTGGGCCCTTGGTGCTTTCTGACTGTTGGGAAGACAACAGCCTTGATGCCCATATCTGGAGCACTTGGACCCACCTGGGGACCCTCTCAGGACTAATGACTGGAGCTGACTAAGATAAGATGACCCCATTGGGCCTCAAAGCCCCGGGGCTCAGGGACACCCAGGGTCCCTGCTAACGCCACTGGTGAAGTGATGGGCCCGGGAGAGCTGGGAGCAGTGGTCAGCTGGAGCATGCTCAGATGGGCTCACAACAGCCAACAGTGCGACTCTCCTCTGCTCTGAGTTCAGTGACTTTGTGTTGGTAGCTTGATATCAGTCACAGTGGGAGTATTTACACCAGGAAAATCACCAGGTGCTACAAAGCACTGTCCCACCCCACAGCACCCCACGAGAGTCCGCTGTTAACCACTGACCAGCACACCTCTTGTGAGGAGCTTGGAAAGTTGCTGGTGGGCATGAGGAGGTCAATGACTCTCTGAAGATTCCCTGGCCCTGTGATCTTTCCTGAGGCCACAGCTCCTGCGGGGAGGGTCCCGGGACTGCCAACAGCCGCCATCTCGCCTCCCCCAGGAAAGTGAAGCACACTTTGTCCTCTGGTGTGTCTCACGCCCACCCATGTTCTCTATTTGCACTCACCCTCCCGGCCCAGCCAGATGCCAAATGGAGCTGCAGACCTCAGAGGTGACCTTTTTACCCCTAGTTGGGAAAAAGCACATGAATACCACCCTCTGCAGGATGGTGAGAACATTTAGGGCCCTCCAGCACCTGACCCTTGTCCATTCTCAGCTTTCCCCCCACTTCTGTCCTTCAGCCTCTGCTCAGCCAGACACTGAGCTCACTGCTTCCCACCTCACTACATCCTGCATGATCCTGCAAAGACCATGCTCTTCTCCCTGGAATGCCCTCCCTCTCGCTCTTCATCTGGCTGAACCCCTCACCCTTGGTGACCAGCCCAGCCCGTACTGCCCACTGCCGTCTGAGCTCCTTCTGCACTTGCTGATTGGGCTGCGCACTGGACTTAGAGCCCCTGCCACACCCCGTGTGCCCATCTTGTCCCAAGGACCATGTTGGGCTCCTGAAGGGCAGGCTATGCCCCCTCAGTCCTGTGAGCTGATAGATGTTTCTAGGGAACGTCAGTCATTAAGAACAAAGATTTGGCATCACACAGACCTGCCATTTCCCAGCTGGGGGGCCCTGGGCAAGTAAGCTCACTCTCTGAGCTTCAGTTTATTTGCCTGTAGAATGGGGGCGATGATACCAACCGCATCTGATCATTGTGTGATCAAATGAGATTGTGCTTATCACTCTACCAACTTGTAGAGGCTCTAGGACAGGACTGAGTGATGCATCCCCATGGTCTGAATACATATCACCCACAGGAAAGTGTAAACCCAGCAGCACAGGTGGCCTCCTGGGGGTCCCTCTCGTCCCCTTCAATGATGTTATGGACTGAACTATATCCCCTCCCCCAATCCATATGTTGAAGCTCTAACTTCCAATGTATATCTGGAGATGGAATCTTTAGGATGTGCAGTAAGTCCTCACTTACTGTCATTGATAGGTTTTGCAACTTTAAGCAAAATGACATGTAACAAGTCAATTTCACCTACTATAATAAGGTTAAATGAGGTCAAAAGAGTGGGACCACAATCTGACAGAATCGTAGCCTTATAAGAAGAGGAAGCAGCCTTAGTCGATTTGGCTCAGTGGATAGAGCATAGGCCCGTGACTGAACGGTCCCAGGTTTGATCCTGGTCAAGGGCACATACCTGGGTTGTAGGCTCGATCCCCAAGCCCTGGTCTGGGGCACATGCCAGAGGCAACCAATCAATGTTTCCCTCTCTGTGTCTCTCTCCCCTTCTTCCACTCTCTCTAAAAATCAATGGAAAAGTATCGGGTGATGATTAACAAAAAATTAAATAAAGAAGAGGAAGCATTCTGTCTTTCTCTGTCACATGAAGACACAGTGAGAAGGCAGACGTCTGCAAGCCAGGAAGTGGATCCTTACCAGAGCCTGACTTTGCTGGCACCTGACCTTGGACTTCCAGCCTCCAGAACAGCGAGGAAATGAATTTCTGTGGTTTCACTGAACAGTTTAACAGATGTTGACATCAATGGTATTTTGCTATGGGAGCCTGAGCTGACGAAGACAAATACCTTCGTGCTTTCCTGACTTCTGGAGCCTCCTCCCGACTCAGGGCAAAGCACCGTGTCAGGGACTTGGGTTGGGGGTGGCAGGCAGATGATCACTAGACACATGGGCAGAGAGAGAACACGGGCTCTGGAATCCAATGATCTCCCTCCCTCAGCCACAACCTCAGGCAAGCTCCCAGGCTGGCTGAGTCATCCTTTCCAAGCTCCTCTATAAAATAGGGGTGCAAATCTCTCTCATGGGGCTGCTGGGAAGATTCATTCATTGATTTAACAAACAAGCCCTGCAGAGTTGGGCTGGCTGTGCAAGGGCTGGAGATAGTCACCGTTAATTTAGGTCTCCTCCTGTGCCGGCTGCCGTGCTAAGTGCTCTACAAGTATCAGAGTATTTGATCTATGTAACTCTCTTGGAAGGTAGGGCTTCTTGTTCCCATTTTACAGAGGAGAAAACTGAGGCTTAGGGGTTAAGGAATGTGTGCAAGGTCACACAGCTAGGGCAGAGATGGAGCTGAGATTGGAACCCACGGCAAGAGTCCCTGCTCCTACTCCGCACATCACAGTCTGCTTCCTCCCTCATGTTGGCACCTGGGCAAGAAACAGATGGACCAGAGGCGGTAGGTATCAAAGCTGGGGTAGTCAGGGTCAGAGCTCTGCTGCTTACCAGCAGTGTGACCAGGGCAAGTCACTAATCTCCCTAGGCCGCAGGTCCCGCAGTGTAATTTGAGGATAATAATAGTAACTATTGCTCCTAGGATTGTCCAAATAATCAAATGAGCTTGTTCACATAAAGTCTCAGAACACTGCGTGACATATGGTAAATAGCCAATACCTTTGACTTTTATTAGTACTATTATTATCCATTATTACTAGGCCCAGTGTCTGCTGCAGCCTGCCCTGACCTTTCTCATTTGTGCACACACAGTTCCTACCGGCGGGAGCTCCTGGCTCCAGCCCAGCTGGCCAGCTTCCTGTCCCCCAAACACACAGCACTTTCCCTGCCCAACTCCAGTCCTGGGAAAGGTTCTGTCTTAGCCCCAGCTCTTAGGACTCTCCTTGTCTTTCCCATGGGGCTGTGGTAAAGGCTGGAGAGTGTGTGTGAGGTAAGGGGTCCGTGTCAACCGTGGCTGCCTCCTCTCTAGTCTTAAAAAATGGTATTTTCACCTCTAGATTAAGGAGCATTTACAGGTGCCAAGACACACACTTTGCTAAGTGTTGTATTGACATTAGCTTATGTAAATCTCTCACAATAACTCTAAAGATGGAGATATTTGTTTTCAAGTTTTACTGATGAGGAAACTGAGAGGCACAGAGAGATTAAGCAACCAGTAAGCGGCAAGCTGGGAACTCGGTCTGCTGACAAGCCCACGTTCTCTGTGTTGTGCTCGGTGATGCCTGGTCCTCCTCGTCCCCTGGCCCTGCTGTGACTGCAAGCTTCTGGTCGGCTCTGGACAGAGAGCGTGAAGGAATCACATGGTACAGCCAGATGCTTGGCTAGGCCCTAGGCTTGAGGATTCCCTGCCGTCAAGGAGCTCATAGTCAAATGAGGGAGAGAGAGAGAGTGAATAGAAATCAATAATCTAAAAAGTAACTAATGTTTACTGAGCTCTTTCTTTGTGCCAGGCCTTGTTCTAGTAGCATCATGATGCATGTTAACTCATTCATCCCTCACATGACCTAGGTGAGGTAATGAGCACACAGCTGGTAAGTGGGGAGCTGCGGCAATTATAAATGTTTACTGCAAGACTGTAAAGAGCCAGGATACCCCAAGGCACCGTAAAGCACCAGGACACACTGTGACATTGTAAAACACCCAGTACCTGGTGACATTATAAAAGTACCAAGACAAGGGCACTGATACCTTGAGACACTGTAAGTTTGGATGAGATACAGGAAGAGTGCAGACCAGGAGGAACGAAATGTTTAGGTGTCTGGCCAAGGGAATTCTGAGAGGAGGGTTTTGAATAGGAATATCTTAGGAGTAAGTGGAAGGGGAAGATGCATTACAGACAGAGGAACAGACGGGGGTCTGGGGGTGTAGCCCCCGGCTCCATGGTTCCCCTGGCACTTAGGGGATACTGTGAATCAGCTCCCTGAGGCAGTTGCTGGGCTGCACGCAGGACCCACGGGCCACCTTACACCTGGGGGAAGGAGGGACAGGAGTGCAGATGAGTTCACCTATGTGCTGGACCAGCCCTCCATGGGGCTGACACTGGCCGAGGCTGGGACATTCAGTCCTTTCCTCCTTGCCTCTGAGCTGCCCAGGTTTTTGCCAACAGCACCTGTGTCTCGGCTGCTCACAGAGTAAGCCGGGGTCAGCGTCAACCTTACCCCCTAAACACCTCTCCCTGATTGTCTATCTCTGAGAAGTAATGTTTTTGATTCCTTTCTCCTCTTGTTGCTCAGGGGGAAAAAAAGCTGGTCCTTTGGCTCAAGGGCATCTTCCCAGCCCAGAAAGGGAAGAGCTGCTTCGGTGGCAGGGACTGGAGGCCCTGAGACAGACCTGAGCGGAAGAGGTTTTATGAAACCCAGCTGGTCACAGCTGGCTCCATCCTGCCCATCCCTTATTTATGCATCCCAGGAGCCTTTCCAGGCCCCCTCCCCTCAGCTGCCCAGCGAGGGCATCGATCGCCCTAATGGCCCAGCTCTGCGGTTAGAGCCTAAGCTGCCCCCTCCCCAAGCCTTCCTGTGGCCGCTAATTAGCGGAGGTCTAGAGACTCCATTTCACAAATGGGGAACTGGGGCCCAGGGGGCTCTGCTGGGAAGTGAGGGGTCTAAGCGTAGCACCATGCTTCTCCCACCCCCAGACTCTCTCTGGTTGGCTCTGTTGCTGACCCAAGGCTACTAAACCACGTGTGTGTGCATTTCCACAACTGGGAACATGGACAGAGGCCAGAGTGGGCAGAGAGATGCTAGTTCTTTCCTGAGCCCCAGAGGAAGGGGAGTCTGCACAGTGGCAGCTCTAGAATTCTTAGACCAGATGGTTTTTGAGTGGCTGTGGGGACACTGAGGGAAATTCTTGGGGTGGGGGGTGCTACAGCTCTCCAAGCCCTCCCTGGCTTCACTACTGTGCTTTTAGCCAGGAGCCTTGTCCCTGACACCGCCCAGCCCTGGAATCAACTCTGTGTGCTGGAGCCAGGTCCCCACACCATGGGTGAAGAGGGGTCAGGGACATACCCTGGAGGGTCTCAGGCTCCTAACATTCACTAGGGATGGAATCAGGTGAAAATGCCTGGCAGGAGAAGTCTTGGATGACAAGACCAAGAAGCAATACCAAGGACAACAGCCAGACCCAATGGAGGAGCGTTGGCCGCCTGGAGCAACAGAGGCAGAGGAGAGAGGGTAGGGGGCGTGCTGCTGCTGATGGTATCTGAACCTACAAGCATCTTTCTGCCCCCACTGGAGTGTCCTGGTAGAGACAAGGCTGCTCCGGACGACCCCATGGGGCCTACAGCTCAGGCAGCACAATGCTGGAAGCCCCTCCCAAGATGCTCCCCGGGCTGCCCCAGGCCTCCAATTAGGGCATCAAAGAGAAGCTTAGCTTTGCAGGAACTCAGGAGCCTATATCCCACTAAATCCCAGAGAGAAGCCTGACAGGGCTAATAAAAGTGTGTGAGTGAAAGCAGCCGCGTAAACTGTGAAACACCACCCACAGCTCCATTTGTTCTGTGGTCTTGTAGAAATATTAAATTATTCATCAAAATAGGACATCAGAACCACCACGACCACATCCGTGATCTGCGGTCCTGGGGACATTAGCGGCCCCTGCGCAGGGGCTGACTCATGGTGTGGGATGGGAAAGAGCATTGGGCAGGGAGCTGGGTCAGGGTCGAGTTCTATAGGCCACTGCAGTATCGAATCTCAGGTCTGAGATTGCCTTGAAGGGGGAAACTGTCCAGAAGATGATCCATTGCTCCCAACCGACATACCTTTCAGGCCCATTCCTAAGTGGAAAGTGGCTACTGCGACTGGGGAGTGGCCTGAGTTGGGGACCAGGAAGCTAGTGCCCACAGACTAAGGCTGCTCTGACCCCCACCACACCTTCCAAGGAATCAGTCCTGATGGGACCATCATCGCTCCCTCATGCCCCTGCCTCCGCTTAGTCCCTCTTTCAGTTCCAGCTTCTCTGCCTGAAGGGCTGGAATCTCTCTCTCTCTCTTGTTAATCCTCATCCGAGGATATCCCCCCACTCCCCAGTGATTTTTAGAGAGTGGAAGTGGGGAGGGGAGGCTACAGAAGAGAGAGAGAAACATGAAGTGAGAGAGACGCATGGATTGGTTGCCTCCCACAGGGGCCCTAATCAGGCGGGGGTGGGGGGGTGGGGGGGGGATGAACCTGCAACCCAGGTACCTGCCCTTGATTGGAATCAAACCCCTGATGAACCCCCGACGCTCTAACCACTGAGAAACACCTGCCAGGGCTGGGATCTCTTTTCCCATGGCCCAGGTTTTATTAAAAAAAAAAAAAATTATTTCAATGTCTAGTTGGAGGGGTTGCCAACATTAGCTCGTCCAGGCTGGGACAGATCCTTCCTGGCCCTTCCGCCCTGCCTGAGTCTGTCAGAAGCGCCCTCAGTGTGCCCGGGTAGGGGGCAGGCAGAGGGTGGGAGGTAGGGCACCCCGAGGCACCTCCAAGCCCGCTCTGCGGCCGGGGGGAGGGGTGCTGTGAAGACGGCGGAATTGGCCGAGGGGCCCCAGGAGGCTACCCCTGGCTGGAGCCGGAGCTTCTCCTTCCGCAGCGGAGTCTGCTCGGCTCCTACCCCGGCTGCGAACTCTTTCAGCCCACACCAGCCTCCCCCCCAGACTGAATCCCTTCCACGGAGAACCCTCACCGCCCCAGGCCAGCGGCCCCCACCCCCACCCCAGCTCCACCAGCCCCGGGGAAAGGGACGGATCCAGTCCGGGACCCACAACTCCCAGGGCAGCCGGCTTAGAGGGAAATGGGGCGAGGCCAAGGTCACAAAGGGAGGCGAGGCAGCACGGTGATGAAGGGAGTGGTAGGGGGTCCGAGGCCCTGAGCCCTGGGATCCCTCCCCGGCGGTCCTCGCGCGGCGCGGGAGGCGCACTCACCGCCGGGACCACTTGGCGGACGGCCGCCCGAAGGGCCGCTTCCACAGCACGCCGTACAGCTGCACTTTGGTGCTGATGTCCAGCGCGTCCGAGTCAGCCTGCTCCAGGGACGGCGAGGGCGACACCGAGTTGGACTTGGAAGTGAACATCCTGCCTCAGCGGGGCTGCCCCCGGCCCGGCCCACCCACTCCCCGGGCCGGCAGGGACGCTGCGCTCCAGACCAGGGCGGGCGCGCGCGGCGGGCGCTGGGGGAGGCGGCGTCGGCAGGCCGCTCCGGGCGCCGTCGGGGCGCGTCCCAGGCAGCGGACACGGGGAGTCGCCGGGTCGGAGCTGCCGCATGAAAGCGCGCGGGCCGGGAGCGCAGCGCCGAGGGGGCCCAGGGTGCGGGGCGCGCAGCCGGCGACTTGCGCTCCGGTGGGGGCGGGCCCGACGGGAGCTCGGCGGGAAGAGCGCTCAGCCTCCCGCAGGCAGCATCAGCCCCCTCCCCGCACACACACCCCCCGAGGACAGCCCCGATTCCGGGGGCCCCGATTGGCTGGGCGGGGCAGGTGAGCGAGCGGAGGCCGGCCGCGAGCGCCAATCAGTGCGGGCGCCGGCGAGAAGGCCGGGCTCCGTGCGTCCGGAAGATCCCGGCGGGTCGCTCGGCCGGGAAGCGGTCACTGCGCTTCCCCACCCCCACCGCGCGCGCGGATCTCTCCCCCGGGGTCCTTCTCGCGTGCACCGCCTCCCTCGGAACTGGGGACACGTCTGCTTTGTGGTGGGCGTGGAGTCACAGGTCCCCTCCTCGCCGCTGGGTGAGGGAGAGTAAGCAGCAAGGATTGGGGTCAGACAGCCGGGCTCAGTCCCAACTCAGCCCTTACGTAGCTCCGTGAAGCGGCGATGAGCCTGGGTTTTCTCACTGGAAAGCGTAGGTGCCTGCACCTCCTCGGGCAGAGCGGTGGCCAAGTGAGACTAAAGCAACTGTCCACGCGCCCGCTCAAGAGCAGGCTCCGTCCCGGCCGGCGGCCGCCCCCTGCCCTCCCCGCCCCTTCAGGTGGGTTTCACTTTGCACCGCCGCGGCCTCGCCAGGGTCAGGTTTCTTTCCCCCGAGCTAGGCGTCGGCGGCGTCTGGCACTAGGGCCAAGCCCGAAGTGCCAGCGCAGTGGGTGTCCGTGATTTAGCTGCGCACCAGACCGGTGCTCCCTGGGGCCCGGCGCGGCACCCACTTCCGCTCCTCTCCGCCACTTCAGGTGACCATCTCACTTTCAGGCTGGGGCGGAGACCTCAGTCCGATCCCTGGGGACCGCCCGCCGGAAGGCTGTGCTCGCACCGCGGCCTGCGGGCCCCGCTCCAAGGCAACGGAGTGAGCTTGCGCAGGAACAGGCTAGGCTGCAGGCTAGACCTCGCTGTAGTCATCCTTCTCAGGCTGACCGGCTGCAGGCCATCTCAGGGCCGCCAGGAGTCAGTCACCTGCGCCCTTGAGAAAGCCACTTTCCCTCGGCTTGGCTCTGTGATTCCTCGTATTGTAAAGAAGTCCGAAGAGAAGAAAAGTAGTCCGAGAGCCAAGTCACCTCTCGAATCTAGATAGACTTAAACTTGTCCAACTTTAAAAATGAGGTGTAATTACTATATGGTAAAACGCACAGATCTTAAGTATTTATTTGATGAAGTTTATCTGATGAATGTATGCACTGAGGAACAACCACCCAAAGCAAGATGTAAAACATTTCTATCACTCTAGAAAGTTTCCTCATGCTGCTCCCCTCTAGTCAACTCCAATATCCCCCATTCCCTCCCAGGCAACCACTTCCTGATTCTTAACATTTGCACACCTTTTTTTTCAATTAAAAATGTTAATGTCTAAAATGGCATCTTCTGCAGAGCCACCATCGGTTGCTTAGCCTGATTCTCGCATTTATTGCCTGCCTGGCTCCTTGTAGGCATCTGACTGTGTATCCTCACTAGATGCGTCCCCAGGCCTTCCCAGGTGTTACATTTTATGAGTCTAGTTAGGAAGGGGCCTCCGAAAGGGCTCCACATGCTGACACCTCCCTCTAACCAACCCTGGGCTTCCCAAGCCTAGGCAGCATCCCCTTGCTGCTCACTGTCTGAAGGGCCCCAACTGAACTCACTGTGTCCCTGTAGAAAATTATAGGCCAAGCCTTAACACAGGGCCCAGGTGTGGGCTCAATGATCGGAGACAGGACTAGGAACATGATGAGAGCCTATGGCTAGAGCGCAAAGTAGATATTTCACATGTCTTTGGCTATTTTTGACATGTTCTAATGCTTGGAAAATTTTCCACTCTAGGAGTCCTGCTTTTTCCAGATGGAAGCTAGAAAACTTGTGTGGAGATCAGGAGCTCCAGGACAGGACTCTGAACTCAAAGTTTAAAGTTGCAGGTGACAAACGCGAGGAAAAACCATGCCCAGGCAACAGTTTTCTCAGGGGAAGGCGGTACTAGAGGCATCTGACTTGCTTTGGAGGCTAGCTGTGGCTGCAAGGTTGTTCCCAATGCAGCAAGCAGCACTTGCATTGACTGCGGTAGCAGCCACACAAAAGGCAGCTCTAGTGCTCTGTGATGGCAGCAGCATGGTTTTGGGTAGCTTTTCTGGAAGCTTCACCTCTAGTCAGGCGCCTGGTTCTCTAGCCCTGCCAGTATCCTTTTAATAAATTAATTTCTTTTCTGCTTAATCAGGTCAGTACCAGCTTTGGCTGCTTGGGTTGTAGGACTAGGGATGAGCTCATGAGCCACAGATGGGAGAAAGGCAGGATACCTGGAAAAATCATTCTTAAGGCAATCCTTTCCAAGCAGAAGGGCAAGGTGAGCCCAGATGGTTCCTGTGAGATTCAGTGTCTTCAATCAAAGAAATAGAGCACAAATTCTTCAGTGGCAAAGAGAAACCAACCTTGCCCATCCCCACTGCATACAGGACATCTGACAGACCTTAACTAATGGCAGGTAAGGCTGGTGGGAAGACTGCTCTGAGGCAAACAGCATGGGTCTGAAGGAACACTAGATACTTAAGTGGCTTCTGCTTTGCTCAACTAATCAGCCCAGGTGATGCCAAGGCAGGCCTGGGAGAAGCTGCCTCTGCTTCCATTGTGCTCTCTGGCCCAGCTGGTGGGAGCGCCAATTGCCTGGCATAGTTCTGCAAAGACAAAACATGCTGGGTGCCAATCCAGTGCTTCAGACCAAGTGTGGGTCAGGGCTGCCTTATCTTATCGGGAATTAGATGAGGCCAGTCAGGGATGGAAACTCAGGGTCCTGAGAGCCCTACAGGCTCAGACAGAGCTGATGTTGTAAATTTATTATTTACATCTTATTTATTGAGGTACATATTACTTTTACTTTTTCCAGATGAGAAAAATGCAGTGCAAAAAGGTTGTCAGGTCACTCAGCTCGTCATTTCCTGGAACATGACAGGCCCTCAAATGTGTTGAATGAGGGCAAGTGGCAGGATCAAGATACAGTTACTCGATTTGGTCTGAATCCTAAGCCCATGGCCATCAAGCTGCATCATAGTGCCATGTGAAGTGCAGTCTAGGAAAATGCTAGACCTCTCTCTCAGTCTTTCCCTTTTTTTCTAGTAATTTCTCTCACCTAAGACTCAAAGTTTCTGCAGAACTGAAGATGCAATTTTATGTGCACTATGAAATTCCAGCCTCTCAGCTGTTTATGGATAGACGCCTAATAATGAATACACATTTTCTTTTTCTTATAGTTTTTATTTCCCCCAGCTTTATTAAGGTATGCTTGAAAATAAAAATGGTATATATTTAGGTTGTACAACATGATTTTTTAAAGGTATCAGATGTGATGATTTAATATACATACACACTGGGAAATGCTTACCACAATCAACTTAGTTAACACATCCTCATTACTTAGTTTTTTGGTGTGTGTTGAGGACACTTAAGATGTACTCTCTTACTGTATTTCAAGTATACAATACAGTATTAACTGTACATTAGATCTCCAAAACATATTCTTATAACTGGAAGTTTGTACCCTTTGACCAACATTCCCTCATCTCTCCACCCCAGCCCCTTGCAACCACCTTTCTACTCTCTGGTTCTGAGTTTGACTTTCTTAGATTCCACGGGTAAGTGACATCATATAGTATTTGTCTTTCTGTGTCTGGCTTACTTCACTTAGCTTATGTCTTTATGTCAGTGGTTCTCAACCTTGGCTGCACATTAGAATCACCTGGGAATCTTTTTAAAATCCTGATTTCTGGGCCTCATCCTCCGGAAATTCTGTTTCTTTGTTATGGGGTGGGGCCACATTAGTAACAAAGAAACAGAATTTCCGGAGGATGAGGCCCAAAACTCAGGATTTTAAAAAGATTCCCAGGTGATTCTAATGTGCAGCCAAGGTTGAGAACCACTGGTTTATGTCCTTTCCAGATCGAGCTCCTTGAGGACAGAGTCCAGGGCATGTAGTAGATGCTCAACAAATGCTTAACCAAACTGTCTTTACTTGGCCCCTGTTCAGGTGCTGCGGTGTCTTATTTGTTTGCCAACCAATGGAGACTGCCCTCTCAGGCCCTCAGCTTCCCCCGTCTATAAAACAGAATCTGCGAGGTGGCTGAGAACTTACGTGAAAGCAATCTTTAGACGGCTGACTTGTCACCTGCTTTTCATGCTAAGATGGGTTTAAGTCCAGGCTCGGCCATTAACTGTGTGAACTCAAGACAATCACTGGACTTGTCTGAGCCTTCCAGCTTGCTTCACGTCGTCCTCTTCTGCTTTCCAAATGCCTCTCCCATCTATCTACAGCAGGATCCACCAAGAAATCCTCGCTCCCCACCATCACTCATGTGATCTTTTCAAGATCCAAAGATGATGTGAACTCCCGACTTAAAACCTTTTGCTGGTCCTCCATTCCTTGACTCCAGCGCCCAACTACTGACCTTTGACTGCCACACCCTCTACAACATGGTCCTGACCTATTGCTGGGGCTCTCCCTTGTTGCTCCCCACCTGCTCCAGCCACGCTGGATCTAATATTCTGAGAAGCCACCATGCTCAAATGGCTGCATTTCCCAAGGCCAGGGGTAGGTCTTAGGCTCCTTTAACTGTTGCAGAGCCTGGCTGTGCCCAGGGGACCCTGAGAGGGAGAGGAGGCGAGGTAGAGGATGTCATATGCAGATTTGAAGCCAGTAGGCCAAAGGATTAAGGGGGTGGAGGGTCAAAGGAGAGCATGTCCCCTAAATAAAGGAGACCAGAGGATACAGGGAGAAGCAAAGAATATAAGGGGAAAGTGGGCATCCCTCCCAGGCCAAGGCTGAGCCTCTGTATACCAACTGCAACACAGATGTTCAGAAGTAGAATCAAGGGAGTCCTTGTGCCTCAGCCACGAAGTGGGGGAGATAAGCAGGGATAAGGATAAAGTCACTCATCTCCACCTTGAGGTGCCAGAGGAGCCACTGGTACAAGGATCTGGAAACTGACCTACCATGTCCATGAGTCATCCATGTGGTAACAGGACCTCAGAGGTCAGCCCAAGACTACACTTGAGAAGGGGATCCAGTTGGGGTTGAGTCAGGAATTACAAAGACCCTTGTTAGGCCCAATTCTCTGTCCGTCTGCAATTTTAAATCTGGAAACTTAGACAGCATCCAGGGAACTGACAAATCTTGCACACCACTGTTGCCTCCCCTCTCCCTCAGCCATAGGCATTTTTACGCAGAATCCACATTCTTGTGCCACCAGGCCTCGGCCCACATGAGTCCTCTTGGTCAGAGAACCCTTCCTACCTTCTTCATTCTACCCAGCCTTTGAATTTAGCTCTGGTCTCATCTCCCTCTGGATGATCTCCCTGAAGACCCACTCTGGGTTTCTTGCCCCTACATGTTCTCTGAGCACCCTATGCTTCCTTGTCTCCAGTGCTTATTGGCAACTGTGTTCTCTTGTTTGAGTCCCTCAAGAACCACAGCTCTTTAAGGACTGGCACTAATCCCCACTCCTTGTAGGAGTGCCTGGTCCATAGGAAGGGC